GGGGGTGTGTTCACGGTGTGTGTGTGTTCACTGCTGTGTGTGTGCACTTAGGATGGGTTAAATGCAGAGCACTAATTCCGAGTATGGGTCACCATACTTGGCCTCACTTCACTTCACTTTAATCTATAGCGTAATTCTGACCCTTTTGGCTTGCCATACTTTAAAGCCAACGAGCACCATGTTGCGGTCCATGACGGCAAGAACCCCCTCAACATCTGGTAACACTCAGGCTTCCGATGATAGCGGCTCAGATGTGGAGTTAACAGCTGAAGTCTGTCTGCACTGGACGCGACAAAGCCAGCATTAAAAATCATTTAATACGTCATAAATAGAACGAGGCATCAGTTTACTGTCGGGTAAAAACCGTGTCGTGTCGCATTCAGTGCAAACAGTCACTGATTATAATGGTTTCTATAGTATTTTGTCACACTGCTCGCGTCCAGTGTAAACACGGTACACCTAGTTATCTATTGTGGTAATTTGCAGGTCATGTCAAAAAGTTGTTGGTTTAGATAAATAGCTGTATTCTGTACGTTTGACTCGAGTACGATGACTTTCTTCCAAATACGATAATTTTGAGCTTCTGGTACAATACTTGGACATTTCCAATCTGGCAACACTGACTCACATACTGTGCATAAGCTCATATTTCTGCGCATTATATGTAATTTCATGAACTGTCGACAGATGTTTTATGAACGTACCAAATAAAGTATCATTCTTAGTCAGAGTTGGAGTTTCTTTATTAGTGTTTACTATATATACAGTGGGAGAATCAGCCCCCTTTAACTTAATCACGTTGTTGCTTTGCAGCACATCAAAGGCAGCGAAGGATACATCTATGCTGCCTTCAAAATTCGATCAGAAGAAGGTACCTCCGGAGACAGGAAGTAAAGCAGAATTTGGATTCTGACGTGCCTTGATGCCTTCCTGCCTTGGAATGCTGCCTCCGAAGGCAGCATTTTAGATTTTTCGGACGCAGCCTGAGTGTTGCATTTTTCTCCATTCAAAACTATGGCTCTAAATAAGTATATACTCATACACGAAATCGGCTCATTACAGACACTCTAAATGCGCTCGTGCACACCTCAGAGTGTGCTAAGAATGCAGGAGGGTGCCCTGCTTTGAAGCCAACAAGCACTATGTTGCGGTCCATGACGGCAAGAACCCCCTCAACATCTGGTAACACTCAGGCTTCCGATGATAGCGGCTCAGATGTGGAGTTAACAGCTGAAGTCTGTCTGCACTGGACGCGACAAAGCCAGCATTAAAAATCATTTAATACGTCATAAATAGAACGAGGCATCAGTTTACTGTCGGGTAAAAACCGTGTCGTGTCGCATCCAGTGCAAACAGTCACTGATTATAATGGGTTCTATAGTATTTCGTCGCACTGCTCGCGTCCAATGTAAACACGGTACGCCTAGTTATCTATTGTGGTAATTTGCAGGTCATGTCAAAAAGTTGTTGGTTTAGATAAATAGCTGTATTCTGTACGTTTGACTCGAGTACGATGACTTTCTTCCAAATACGATAATTTTGAGCTTCTGGTACAATACTTGGACATTTCCAATCTGGCAACACTGACTCACATACTGTGCATAAGCTCATATTTCTGCGCATTATATGTAATTTCATGAACTGTCGACAGATGTTTTATGAACGTACCAAATAAAGTATCATTCTTAGTCAGAGTTGGAGTTTCTTTATTAGTGTTTACTATATATACAGTGGGAGAATCAGCCCCCTTTAACTTAATCACGTTGTTGCTTTGCAGCACAAAGATAGCTATATCCTAAGGGTCTTTTGAAAGGCTCGTAGACCAAGATAAACCATATACAGCTAGCCTCATATATCCAGGTAAGAGCTTCTTTCAAATCTGCTTACAATCCTAGCAGGGGAGATAGCACTCTCTAAGCGAGGGCTCAAAGGAGACCGCTACTTAAAAACCTTGCACGTGCCTCAAACAGAGGGCTTACAATGACTTACAAAGATACAAAAATATGAGTCCATAATCCATAATAACTCTTCCTGCAGTGAAAGAGTGCATCTGCTGTTGTCTCTCGCATCAAAATCCAGACACATATGTGTTTAGAGCTGTTTAAACGCTGCTTGATCTGTGCAGATTTCTCTCCTGATTCACATCAGAACACTTTTCACTGGAGGAAGCGTTTTAGTTAAAAACGTCTTAATGCTGGATTTGTTTCAGCTTTTGTCTTCTCCAGATGTTAACTGATGGACTGGAGTGCTGTGGATTACAGTAATAACGCTGTGAATAATGCTCAGTTTCTCACACAGAGCGATGGTTGGGCTTCACAGGGATTCATTCTGTGTTGCCCGATGGGCTTTTTTGTCTCTCAAAGTGCCGGCAGCCATTGACTTGCATTATAAGAACCATCAGATCTTCCTCACTGCTGTACTGTAGGGATGTTCTGGTTTGTGGCTGAGTGACGGCTGTGTCCCAGCAGAGCACACTCACACTCTCTGCTAGCACCTCTGGCTCTGAGCGTCCTCTGCTAGCACCTCTGGCTCTGCGCGTCCTCTGCTAGGACCTCTGGCTCTGAGCGTCCTCTGCTAGCACCTCTGGCTCTCTCAGCTCCGCTCAGTGTTTCTGAGCGACAGACTCAGCGTCTCCATCATCACAGACTCCTAGCGGCTCGTCTGCTGCTCGCTCTACATTTATAATAAACACTCTAAATGCACTGTGTACTCATGTAGAGTATGAATTATATGAGGTTATTTTGTCATTCATAATCAGAGTCTGATAGCTCCTCCCCCTTCATTATGTAATTAAAGCTGCGGCAGGTGAGTGCATCAAGTGTTTAACACGCCACACTCAGTTTTTTCTGTAAGTGCATCATCCGGATGCTCCCGGATGGTCTACTACTTCCGGTTAGAATTCGAAGTGCAGATTCGTCACACTCTAACGGCTAATATTACCCACAAGACATTGCGCGGTGGACGAGGATTCGATTAGAACTACAAACACGCATTAAAGTGTTATAAACTACAAACATGGCGGATATGCGAGACCGACGGACTGGTAGAGAAAGGGGTTTGAGTGATAAATAATCCAAATCTAACTTGTTGAATAAAAATATTTATTTAATGTTATCAGCGTTAAATTCCATTTGCAGCAACACTGTGAACTTTATAACGACACGTTTGGTCATTAACTTTTAAATTCACACACATAAGCAGAGTTCTGGCCTTAAAAGACCCGCGACTGGATCAACGTGCCTCTTCATTTCTCTCCACTACGGTAGGAACGAAATATGGATAATGTTAACTGTGACTAACTTAGATGATTGACAGAGCAGTTTAAACTGTGCCAGGTGCTCGTAACTAAGCAACAGAGCGCCGTTAAAGGTGCAGTTATGACGAAGGAGTTTATCCCAACGCTTGCATAGGCTACTATTCTGCTGCACACTCAAGAGTATGTACTTATTCTTCACCAAAAGAGTGTATACATCTGTTCTGGGAACAGCGAGCGCGGGTAACTATGGTAACTGCGGTCTGCCGACGCGGCCGCCGTAGCCCGTGCGCGGAAACCCCGCGCCATCAGAAGAGCGACAACGCAGCGGAAGACACACAAGATGGCGGCGATCGGCGGATAGACGAGCATTCGCGCAAACACTCCGACGATTCGGTGCTGAACTGAGAGATAATCGCGACCCGAGGGATGATGAGGCTGACCGCGCGGCTGCTGCAGGGACTGCTCGGGACGGCGCGAGGTTAACCGGTGTAGGTACGCTAGGTGACTGAGGAGAAGTTAACGGTAGTGCTGTGACAGAAACGCCCGGCTCTCGGCTAACGTTAGATTCGGCTCATTTAGTGCGGCTTAGGATGAGCGGCGGGCGTCAGCGCTAGTTCCGCTGGTGACGATGAGCGACACCCGGCGGCGCGTCAAGCTGTACACGCTGAACGAGGAGCGGCAGTGGGAGGACCGGGGCACGGGGCATGTGTGCTGCTCCCTCACCGACAGCCTGAGGGTCACCGGCGAGGCGGACGGTAAGAGCCGCTTCTCTCCTCCTCCGTTGAGTTCAGTGTGATGAAGGAGCTCTGATGAGCTGTGTCTGGGCTCTTCTGCAGGCTCTCTGCTGCTGGAGTCCACCATCCAGCCCGGCACCGCCTATCAGAAGCAGCAGGTGAGTTCAGCAGCTTCACTGGGGCTCCGCCGCAGGGGCCCGGGGTCTTGACCGCTGTGCCGTCTGTCTCCCCAGGACACGCTCATCGTCTGGTCCGAGGCGGAGAACTGTGACCTGGCTCTGAGCTTCCAGGAGAAGGCGGGCTGTGACGAGCTCTGGGAGAAGATCTGTCAGGTGGGTCTCTCTCTCTGTGGGATGGATGGTGCTGGGTCCCGTTGATGATGAGCGTGTGTGTGGTGTGCAGGTGCAGGGCAAGGATCCGTCTGGCCACGCTGTTGGAGGTGATGTTCTCCGACGACTGCATCATGGACGTGGTGGGCTGCCTGGAGTACGAGCCGGCGCTGCTGCAGCCCAAGAGCCACCGCCAGTTCCTCACTGAGACGGCCCGCTTCAGAGAGGTGATCCCCATCAGGGACTCGGAGCTGCGGCAGAAGATCCACCAGACCTACCGCGTGCAGTACATCCAGGACATCATCCTGCCCACACACTCCGTCCTCGAGGACAACTTCCTGTCCACGCTGTCCTCCTTCCTCTTCTTCAACAAAGTGGAGATCGTCAGCATGCTGCAGGTGTGTGTGAGTGTGAGTGTGTGTGTGTGTGTGTGTGTGTGTGTGTGTGTGTGTGTGTGTGTGTGAGTGTGTGTG